GGCCCGCGATGGAGGGGGCGGGGGCGGGCGGGGGAGGGGCGGGGGGAGCCCTTTAAAGCGACCACTGCAGGAGCAGCAACTGACAAGGAAGCAATTATGAAATTTTGGTGTGGGGGGGGGGGGGGGGGGGGGGCGGCTTGAGAGCAGAAGCCGAGCGACTCCCCGCAGCGCCACCACCGCCGCCGAGGGTCTCTGAAGAGCTCTCGAGCCGGGCGGGGGTGGCCCCGGCCGCCCCCACCGTCATTAAAGTCCCCTCTCAAATACTCCAAGAGCTTTTCGGAGCGCGAGCCGGGCCGGGCAACATTAAAAACACAGGGCGATTGAAATGGCCACATTGAGATGCGCGGAGCCGGCTGCGGCGCGGACGCGCTCTTGAGGTCAAGTGACGGACGGATTGTATGCTTCTTCATAATAATATTAATTAAACAATTTGCATGCTAATAAGGTAACAATTATCAGGGCCTCTGTTGAAAGATTCAGGTTATTACAACACGCCAATCTGAAGGCCAGGGGTCAGAGAGTGAGAGGCGAGCGAAATTTCAACTCAAATTAACATTCTGTCAGCTCCAGAAAATGGGATAAATAAAGTCGAATTAATTCATTATAATAAAGAGAGATGGGCGAGGGAGCCCGGCCGGCGCCCGCCCGTCCCCTGCCCTCCCCTCCCCTGCCCGCCCCTCGGGCCGAATTGATTACCGCTCTGTATTCAGAAACACGCGCCACGCGCATTCCTGCTCGCGAACCGACAGTAGCGAGGCGCTATGGCTACGGGCAAAACCGAGTCGGATGGACAGAGTTTACGTTTAGTGTTTCTAGAGAAAGAAATTAAATTACGGCGAAAAGTAGTGCTCTTGGCCCCTGACCTCAGAATTAATACTTGCAGCGTTTTCCTAGTGCGACAGGAGGGGGGCAGGAGTAACGTCCCAAATTCCAGGCCTCCTCTCCCTCCCGGCGAGATTTCGGGCCTGTCCCGCATCCCCTGCGCCTCTCCCCGTCTTGAGCAAGGGCGGAGAGGAGGGTGGATAAATCGCGGGCGATGCGCCAAGGCACACCCAGTTCGGACCCTCGGCAGGGTGCGTGTCCAGCGCCGGGTTCTCGGGCAGGTCCGGGCGGAAGCCGGCTCACGGGTCGGGGGTGCGGACCTCGCCCCCTCGGGCCCTCCCCTCCTGTCGACCCGAGCGGTTGTGTGTATCCCTCCCCGGGCACAGACACACGCGCACAGGCGCTGACACAAGAACCGGCACAGTACCGGCGCCGACGCGCAGACGCACAGCCCTGGCCTGCCCTTCCCCTTCGCTCCTGGCTTGGGGCTCGGCAGCCTGGCTCACCAAAGGCCACCTTGCCTGTCGCTTTGCCCTGGGGTGAGAGGCTGCCGGCCGCACGGCTCCAGGACTGGCTCGGACCGAGGCCCAGGAGCTCTTCCTCCCTGCCTGGGGGCTGGCCGCAGCAAGATGCAACCTCTCCATTGACAAACTTTTTTACAAAGGCCGCTTTATATAAAGATACATGTATCTTTCCCTTCTGCCCACAGTCCTAATTTGCTGCTTATTTAAGAATATATCCTTTAATGATTGAGCTCTGAGTCTATCGATACTTTATAGTGGAGAAGGGAGTGACACTTCTCTGAGAACATAATTTAATTATAACAAATGAGTTGGGCGCCTTGGCCCTATTCTTCAGAGGCCGAGTCAAAGCGAGATGTATTTATTTTTTCACTTGTGTGTGGGTGTAGGGGGCCTGATTGGCTGCCACCCCAAACTACTTCTCCCCTCCTCCTTTCCGCCTCCCTCCTCCGCCGCTGCCCGGGTTTTGCCGGGGTAGAGGGTAGGGGGTAGGGGGTAGGGTGCGGGGTCAGGGCGGCACCCCAGCCACCGCCCACCTCTGTGTCTATAGAATGGGCTGCTGCCAATCAACCCGAGAGGGCACTGGTCATCTGTTTCGGAGCCACCTCCTCCCTCTGCTCCCCCTGCCCCTCCCCCGCCGGGCTCCTCTCCCCCGCCGCCTGGAGCCGGAGAGGAGACGAGAAGCCCTTGTAGTTTTAAATTCAATGTGACAGTTTCGGAAAGAGCGGATGATGAATCTCCTATTATCGGATCAGTCTATTTGCCGCTCAATGTCTCTCTGTAATTGGAGCAACACCACTTTAAAGGTTCAGAGAGTACAGCATTTCTGGTGAAAAATCCCCACAACACGCCGGCGAATGTTTTAAAGGGAAATCTATTAGTGATTTGCGGAGGGGCGGGAGCCGGCGGCAGGAGGAGGCGCGGGCTGGGTCCGGCGGGGATGGGGGTGGGGGCTCGCCGGGGGCCCCCGCCCGGGCCGCTCCCCGCGCCCCTCCCCCCGTCTTGTTGTGACAGTTCCTGATACTGTTTATTGAGGTGCATGTCAGGTATAATTAGCAATCGATATGGAAAACGTTTCCTTGCACCCAGCACGCCTCTGACGTCAGAGCCGATTAGCGCTTCTTATTGGTCCCAAATTCCCCGGGCCGCGGCTAATTATCGGGAGCTTGATGTTGATAAAGTAAAGCGCCGGAGTGCGGGCGAAGCATGTGTAGGGCTCCGGGTCCCTGTCTCCGCCGCCGCCGTCCGCGCCTCCCGCCGCTGGCCCGCCCCGGCCCCGGCCCGCGCCCCCGCGCCCCGCCGCCGGCCCCGCCGGCCCCCCGCGCGAGATGATGGACGGCCGCCTCCTGGAGCACCCGCATGCCCAGTTCGGGGGCTCACTGGGCGGCGTGGTGGGCTTCCCCTACCCGCTGGGCCACCACCACGTGTACGAGCTGGCCGGCCACCAGCTGCAGTCGGCCGCCGCCGCCGCCGCCGCCGCCGCCTCGGTACCCTTCTCCATCGACGGTCTGCTCAGCGGCTCGTGCGCCGCCGCCGCCTCGGTGGTCAACCCCACGCCGCTGCTGCCGGCCGCCTGCGGGGTCGGCGGCGATAGCCAGCCCTTCAAGCTGTCAGGTAGGCGCGGCGGGCGGGGAGGGGCGGCGGGAGGCAGGGGACCCCGTCGGGCGGAGGAGTGGGTCGCGGGCGGCCGCGGCGCCACGGCCTCCTCGCTCGCCGCCCTCCGCCCGGCTCAGGGCGCGCGCCGCCCTCTCCTCTCGGTGGCCCCTGGACAGAAGCGGGTGGCCGCGTTCCAGCCGGGCCCGGGGCTGAGCCGCGCGGTGTCCTGTGCGTGCCCGCAGACTCGGGGGACCCGGACAAGGAGAGCCCGGGCTGCAAGCGGCGGCGCACCCGCACCAACTTCACGGGCTGGCAGCTGGAGGAACTGGAGAAGGCGTTCAACGAGAGCCACTATCCCGACGTGTTCATGCGCGAGGCGCTGGCGCTGCGCCTGGATCTGGTTGAGTCCCGAGTTCAGGTAAAGACCCGCCTGTGCGTCCCGCGAGCCAGCATCCCGCCTGGCGGCCCGCGCGGCCCGGCCCGCCTTTGTTCTCGGCTTCCAGGTGGGAGACCACAGCCTCCGTCAGAGCCCGCCGCGCGCACGCCCGCCGGAAGGTGGGGGGGGGGGGTCCGGGGCTCGGCGCCCCGTGGAGAGGGAGGCGGGCATCCCGGAGGGAGCCGAGGCGGCTCGGGAGGGGCCGGAGAACGGCTGCTGCGTCCGAACCGGGGAGCTGTGTGGTGGGTCGGGGCGACGGCGAGAAACGAGGCGCTGGGGCGGGCGAAGCGGCCAGAAGGAGCCGGCCCGGCTCGGACTGGAGGAGAGACCGGGAGACGGCAGACCCCGCGACGCCGGGCCCCGGCTGGGGGCTCCGCACACCAGCCTGCAGCTAGCGCGTTTGTTTACTTTCGCTTCTAAAATATTCACATGAAAACACGTATTTATTCAGAGCTTTGCAGAAGGGGGCAGCTGAGGAAGGGGAGGTGGACACAAACAATTAACACATCGTGGGGGGAAGGGGTGTCTGAATCTTTAACACCATCGGTTATACCTTTTTTTTTTTCTCCCGTAATTTGATTTTATTCCGAGACTGCCGGCGGTATTCTTTTTAAAAATACAGTGTCAATTTGGTGGATTGAAAGTTCAAGATGAATCGTGCATAATTAGATGTTTCCCTAAAGTACAGACATCTTTTTCCGGGTCGGTGTGGTGGTCAGCGGGGTGTGGGCCACAGCTGTGGGCGCCGGGCTTGGAGGCTAAGGCTGGGAAGGCACCTGCTTAGCGCCAGTAGCTTTGTCTAAAAGGTGCTCTCTCCTGTGTTTGCGCTTCCCCGCATGACCTCTTCTGTTTGTAAATCCTCTTATCCAATTTGTTCTAAGTGTCTTAAGTGAAGTCAAGACCTCTTCATTTCTCCTCTAATATGATAATGAGAAATTCTGGGTGACAAGGCAGCCTGGAATTTACACCAAAAAAGAAGTATTTAAAAAGGAAGAAAGAATGAAAGGGCAGAGACAGTCTTGGGGAGGTTACCACTTAACTCACGCACCTTGGCACCAAAAAAGGGTGCCGGTGACCAGGCGGGCCTGCTATTGTGCCGGTCTCTACACAGCCGGAACAAAGAATTCGAATTATCGCGATCTTTTGAGAAGGGTCGTGTGCCTGGGGCTCAGCGGGATTTGACTGTGTGTGTGGTGCTGGAGCCAGGGTCTAGGGCTGCTGCCACCCTGGAGAACCGCGGGGCTCCCAGGAGGAGGCCTGCAGAGAGGCGGCAGGATGCAGGACGGGCCCTGGCCTCTTCTCCGCACGGCCTGGAAGCTGGCCTCTTGCTTCCCTGACTGCCGGACCCCTCCGTGGTCCAGGCCAAGCACAGCTGGTTTGAGGAGGCTGTGTTGGTGCCCTGGCACGGAACCTTCCTTGAGAAAGCAGGCTTTCTGAATGGGGAGGGGAGGGAGGGGCTGCTGAAGCTCTCCCCCCCAAGTTCGGCTTCCCAGGCCCTTCTGGAGGAAAAAGCACCCAGATTTCCCTTCACGGGAGCCCCCAAAATCTGGGCTTTGACTCAGTCTCCAGAGAGCCGAAGACAGGTGTGCAGGGCAGCTGAGCCCAGCGCCACTGGTTCTCAGGCCAGACGTTCAGCGCCGGGCCAGGCGGGCTGCTTAGAACACAAGCTGTGAGAAGCCAGGAGAGGCGAAGAGGGGCCCCCTGCCCTCTGCCTCCCGACCAGGATCCCGACGCCCTCGGTCAGGGGCCAGACCGGCCCTGCCCAACGAAGGGGCAGCTCCCAGTTCCCCGAGGTGAGAAGCTGGAGCGGGAAGCCGGCCGAGAGGCCCCATCTACCTCCTTCTGGGTGGAAAAGATAACACTTTGGAACCTGCAGCTTGAGTGTCAAAATCCAGCTCAGGGTCGGCTGGGCCGCGTGGCTCGGCTCCCGCCCCCCGGCCGGAGCCGAGGTTGTGCAGGCCTCTCTGGGGGGAGTGGGGAGGCCCGAAGCCCCCCACGGCAAGCCCGCCGCCTGACCGTGCCTTCCTTTCCCCTATCCGGCTGCTCTAGGTCTGGTTCCAAAACCGCCGGGCCAAGTGGAGGAAGAAGGAGAACACGAAGAAGGGCCCTGGGCGGCCGGCGCACAACTCCCATCCTACCACGTGCAGTGGCGAGCCGATGGACCCGGAGGAGATCGCACGCAAGGAACTGGAGAAGATGGAGAAGAAGAAGCGCAAGCACGAGAAGAAGCTGCTCAAGAGCCAGAGCCGCCACTTGCACTCGCCCGGCGGCCTGTCCCTGCACAGCGCGCCCAGCTCCGACAGCGACAGCGGCGGCGGCGGCCTGTCCCCGGAGCCGCCCGAGCCGCCGCCGCCCGCCGCCGCGGCCAAGGGCCCCGGCGCGCACACCGCCGGCGCCGCCGGTGCTGCGCCCGCACCGCCCGGCGAGCCGCCCGCTCCCGGCACCTGCGATCCCGCCTTTTACCCGAGCCAAAGAAGCGGCGCCGGCCCGCAGCCGCGGCTAGGCCGCCCCGCGGACAAGGACGCGACCCCGTGTGCGCCCGGGTCGGCGGCGGCGGCGGCGGCCGAGCGCGGCGCCGCGGGCCCGCCCAAGGCCAGCCCGTTCAGCGTGGAGAGCCTGCTGTCCGACTCGCCGCCGCGCCGGAAAGCACCCCCCGCCAACGCCGCCGCCGCTGCGGGGCTGGACTTCGCGCCCGGCCTGCCGTGCGCGCCGCGGACCCTCATCGGCAAGGGCCACTTCCTGCTCTACCCCATCACGCAGCCGCTCGGCTTCTTGGTGCCGCAGGCCGCGCTCAAGGGCGGCGCGGGTCCCGAGCCCGCGCCCAAGGACGCGCCGCCCGCGCCCGCCGCGCCGCCCGCGCCGCCCGCCCAGGCCAGCTTCGGGGCCTTCCCGGGGCCCGGCGGCGCTCCGGACTCGGCCTTCGCGCGCCGCAGCCCTGACGCCGTCGCCTCCTCGGGGGCCCCGACCCTAGCGCCTTTTCAGGACGCGGCGGCGGCCGCGGCCGAGGGCGGCGGCAGGGACTGCGCAGACGCGGGGGCCGCCTGCCCAGCGGCGCCGCCGCCGCCACCGCTCGCGCTGTCGCCCGGGCCCGGCCCGCGGGCTCCCAGCCCCGCTGCGGAGCCGGCCGTTGGCGGGACCCCCGAATCGGGCGCCGTAGCCGGACCCAGCGCGCCGGATGGCGAGGAAGTGGACATGGACTGAGGGCGGCGGTGGGGCCGAGGGAGGCGCTCAGCCGGTCCCCGGCCGCTCGCTCAGGCTCCGACTCACACAGCGAAATCAGGTGATCGGCTTCGAAACACTGCTTTTTCCTCTTTTTTTCTGTTTCCTTCCTTTTATTTTTATTTTATTTTTTTAAAAAAAACGCTGTATCAATTCGGACTTAGGCAGCAACCCAGGACTGGGGGTGAGACCCTCCTCCTCTCAAGGGAGCAAAAAAAAAAAAAAAAAAGGAAAAAGAAAACAAAAAAATTCATACCCTTACAAAAACTCACAACAAGAATCCTCAGCCTTGTAAAATGCAAAAATGTCTAAAAATATTTATATATGTACCATTTTTGATAAATAAAGCTGGTCAAACGCAAGCTTTCGGGTCCACTTTTTTCCAATTTCCGAGTGCCCAGTCCGGCCCCTCCCCGCTCCATCTTCCAAGCCTCCCCCCGCGGGTGGGACGAGGCCCCTCACCTCCCCCGAGGTCCGCGCTTAATGCCTCCTTTTGTGTGCGTGTGTGTTTGTGTTTTCTGATTGAACAAATTTATGCATCCACAGCTCCCCTCTCCTGCCCTCCCCCGCGCTCCCCCTCCTCCCCGGCGCCACACACGCGCGCGCGCACACACACGCGCCCCCGCGCGCACCCCCGCGCACTGGCACACGCGCGGGGTGACGGAGCCCGGGGCTGCAAGGGCCCGGCCGCTGGGCTCCTGCAGAGTTTTGATATGAAAGTAATTATTTTCCGGTGGCTGCTGCGGGGACTGGGTTTCTTGCCCAAAGGGTTATTATACATTACCGATTTCTAGTGATATGAAATCACATAAACTTCCTACAATAATAGAATTAGCATGAAAGGCTGGGGTGTCAAATTGAAATTGGAGAATAATAGCGCCGGCAGCTGGGGGAGTGCGTGCGCAT